CCAGGGCTCCTGCTGCTCCTCCTCCTCCTTCTCCTCCTCTTTTTGCCTCTGCGACCCCCTGTGCGGCAGGAGGGCGGGTCAGTCGAAAGCCCGAGCGGCCGTGTGTGTGTGTGTGTGTGTGTGTGTGTGTGTGTGTGTGTGTGTGTGTGTGTGTGTGTGTGTGTGTGTGTGTGTGTGTGTGTGTGTGTGTGCGCGGCCGACGCCCAGGGCGTCGGGGGGTGCAAGCCCAGGGAGGGAGGGAGGGCAGCCAGGAACACGAGGAACCAAGCGGAGCAGGGGCGGGAGAGAGAGGAGAGCCAGGACGAGCCGCGAGGGGAGGGCAAGCAAAGAGGAGAGGGGCGGAGGGAGAAGGCGATGAGAGAAATGGGCAAGGAGGAGGAGGAGGAGGAGGAGGAGGAAGAGGAGGAGAAGGAGGAGGAGGAGGAGGAGGAGGGGGAGGAGGGAGGAGGAGGAGGAGGAGGAGGAGGAGGAGGAGGAGGAGGAGGAGGAGGAGGAGAGGGGGAGGAGGAAGGAGGAGGCGGAGGAGGGTGAGGAGGAGGAGGAGGAGGAGGAGGAGGAGGAGGAGGAGGAGGAGGAGGAGGGGAGGAGGAGGAGGCGGAGTGAGGCGGAGGAGGAGGGGAGGAGGAGGAGGAGGAGGAGGAGGAGGAGGAGGAGGAGGAGGAGGAGGAGGAGGGAAACAGCCGAGGAGAGCGGGCCCGATCGGACGCGAACGCGACACCCGACTGGGAGCAATAGCGACAGCAAGACATACACGGCACGCGACACACGACGCCGAAGCGACCAAGGCGACGACCGCCACCGACGAAACGACGAAGGGGCGGCGCGGCGGCCCAGAAGCGGCCCCGAGGGGCCGCCGACGCCCCCCCGACCACGGGGGACGACCTGGGGAGCGGACAGGCCCCCTGGGGCAACCGAGACGCGCCTGCCTGCGCGTCTGCCTTCGTCTGCTTGCTTCTCGTTCCCTTCCTCCCTCTCCGTCGCCGCGCAGCACAGACTGCCAGGAGGTGGAGCTGCTGCAACTTTCAAGCTGCAGGATCATGGATCCGAGCCGATCCGATATTCCGACGGACCGAGACGCGCAAAAACAAGACGACGCCCGAGGACCAGAGTAAACCGCCTGGGTTCGTACCTCCCAGCCCAGTCACTGCTGGGCTGTCTTGAGCTGCGGTGCGTGAGGAACTTCGACCCCCAGGGGAATAGCCGGGGGCGGCCTCACGGTTGGGTTCGCCCCGAACCCCCCTGTCCCTGTGTGGGTGTCCCCCCCTCCCAGATGGAGCTGGCGCCCAGGGTGCCAACCCCCCAGAAAAATTATAGCACACCTGGGTACCCCCTTGTGCGTGGCCGACTGCAAATTGGCGGAACGCACCAGGGGGTAGGGAAAAGGTCCGAGAGGGTGGGGCTTACCAGATGGGCGGACGCCGCCGACCGGAAGGGAGGGGACGGCGCCACACCAAGCACGGGGACGCCCCCAAGCATAAGCGAGGGGTTGTGCAGCGTGTCTAGGTCTGCTCCAGCAGGCTGCACTGGCATCGTGGGCGCTGGCATCGCGTAGCAGCCCGGCCTATGCCAGCGCCTCTGAGGGGGGGGACGGGATCCCCAGCCGATCGACGTCCCTGAGGCCAGGCCCGTGTGCAGGTCGTAGTGGATGGTCACCGCCGCCACATGAGGGTAGGGGAGAGGGGGTCACCTTAGCGGGCCTCAGGGCCAAGCCGCCAGGCCCCTGTAGGGGGGCGGGGAATGGTTGCGGGTCGAATCCGCAAAGTTTACGTAGCACCCCGCAATTTCGGATAAGAGTGAGGGGGCGGGCTCGGGCGACGCGGGCGTCGAGCCGGCGGACCTCGCGCCCCTCACCTTCCCTGTCGATGGCGCCCTCCTCCTCGAAAATTTTGATTTGTACACTGAACGCGGTTTGGGTCGCAGGTTGTCCACCTGGAACGAATTCAAAAGAAACCCGCCGCAGGCGCCGAAGTTTTGGCTTGTTCAGTGAACGTTGTTAGGGTCGCGGGTGGGTCGCGGGCTCTGCACCTCCACTTGGAAGGAATTCAAAAGCAGCCCGCCGAAGGCGCCGAAAATTTTGATTTGTACACTGAACGCGGTTTGGGTCGCGGGTTTTCCACCTGGAGCGAATGCAAAAGAAGCCCGCCACAGGCGCCGAACATTTTGGATGGGTCGCGGGGTGGGTCGCGGGTGGGTCGCGGGTGGGTCGCGGTGGGTCGCGGGAGGGTCGCGGGCGCGGTTTGGGCCGCGGGTGGGTCGCAGATTCTCCACCTGGAACGAATGCAAAAGAAACCCGCCTTAGGCGCCGAAAATTTTGGGTGGGTCGCGGGGTGGGTCGCGGGTGGGTCGCGGGTGGGTCGCGGTGGGTCGCGGGTGGGTCGCGGGTGGGTCGCGGGTGGGTCGCGGGGTGGGTCGCGGGTGGGTCGCGGGTGGGTCGCCGTTGTGTCGCGGGTGGGTCGCCGGGGGGGTCTCGGGGTGGGTCGCGGGCGGGTCGCGGGGTGGG